ATGGTCTTCTTGAGAACATGTAAGCCATGCCCTAATGAAACCTTGCTGGTTTCATCCCAGTGCCTATTGCATCAGGACTGTTGCATCAGACCTCCCATGATGCATACCTGGCTTGTCTCATCCTTTGTGCATGTTGCAACCATGTTGCAACCTGGTCTCCCATGATGCACAGCCCACGAAATACTGACTCATGCAACTGCCACTTGAACTGTAGTAACCCTGTTACTATTGCTCCAGTTCCTTTCAGTGGCCACATCCATGTCATTTTCTAGATCAGGGTGTCACATGGTCTTGACAATTTAGTGGTTTCCAGCCTTTGGTCTTCCATTTGGTTTGGATTTCAGATCCCAGATCCCACAGCCAAATTGGCCAATAGTCAGGAATTATGGGAGGTGAAGTCCAAAATATCTATAGGACCAAAGGTTCTGAATTGCTGAACTAAAGTAGTTACATTACTAAGTAGCATAATATGCCAGCCTTCCCCCATCTCCAGCCCACTCCTCCAAAATCTGATTCTAATCTTGGCTTCAAAATTTTCAGAAATGTTGCACCTCCACTTTCATTGTTTTGAGACTCCCCTTCTCATGGAGGAAAACGTTTGTGAATATTCTTTACATGCTATATGTTTAGGGGTGGGTGGGTTCTGGGGTTTTGGATTGTATTAATATATTGTACTGAATTTTAACTGTTGTTAGCCACCCTGATTGCTTGTCAGAGGGGTGGGATACAAATAAATTTTATGATTATTATTTATCATTTAGGAATCTTGTCATTGAGAAGAAACTGCAAGTAACAAAATATTTTTTGCCATTTTCCATTTTGCCATTTTCCATTTTCTTTTCCAGTTTGTATACAGAAAAGGCTACAATTCTCCTGGCAACATATACATACATGGGCAGAGAGAGATCTTACATCTAAGGTATGAGGCATAAACCTTCATGCATGGGGACATGCACTGATAACTATGCAACTGTTGTGTTGCACAGCAAAGTTGCACATCTGAATGCCCAACCAAATATGTATTTATTCAGTGAGAACAAAAAGTATTCGTGAGATTATGAACTAGATGAGTTTAGAACATAAAAGTGTGGCTGAGCATATGCAACTACAGTGGGACCTTGTTATCTGCTGGGGTTTGATTCCAGGACTCTTCATGGATACCAAAATCCATGGATGATCAAATCCCATTAAATACAGTGGCATAGTAAAATGAAGTCCCTTATATAAAATGGCTAAATCAAGGGTTCCTTTTTGAAATTTATATATATTTAAAATATTTCAAGCTGTGGATGACTGAATCCATTGATAAAGAATCTGTGGCTATGGAGGGCCAGCTGTATATTAGCATGAAATATTCCTCAACATTTCACAAGATGAAAACTGAGACAGATGTGGCTGAGTAATATCAGAGTGTGGTCAAGATGGCAAAAATTATTAATGAGGAAGAATAGATAAGCTAGGAAAGATGGTAACAGTTTGCTTTTGCCAGGGTCTACAGGATACAGATGCAGTGGCTTAGTGGTTAAGATGCCAATTCTGACAATTGGAATATTGGAAGGTTGACAGTTCAAGGCCCGAGTGCTGCATGATGTGGTGAGCTCCTGGCACTAGTCCCAGCTTTTGCCAACCTATCAGTTGGAAAGCATGGAAATGCAAGTAGATAAATAGGTACCACTTTGGTGGGGAGGTAACAGTGTTTGGTGCAGTCATGCTGGCCACATGACCACCAGAGTAGTCTTTGGACAGTGCTGTCTCTTTGGCTTAGTAACAGAGATCAGCACGACCCCCTACAGTCTGTTACAACTAGACATCATGTTAAGGGACTACTTTACTTTTACCTTTTACAGGAAAGAGAAAGATTCTGTCACCCCCTGTCCTTTCCTCCTGCTGAGTTAATCAAGTATAAACTACCTTTGCACTTTGAACTCAGTTTGCACCATTGGAAATAAACCAGGAGGAAGAGGGAAAGTGGGAGGAAGAAAGAGAAACTGGGATATTTTAAAGGCAGCTGAAGAAGTGGAAAGGCAGAGGATTAACTGGGTTGATCCCTGACAAATTGGGACAGTTGGAAGGTATGCAAGCAGATAACTGTAGTTGGAATGTTCTTCCCATTGGCTAGGGAAACAGAATTGTTCCTGCAAATACCACAATTCCTGTTAGGCATCTGGAAAAGAAGTGAGAAAAAGGGAAAAGCATCCTCACCTCTCCTGCTCCCTATGAAAGCATAAGTACATTGATGTATGTTCTGTCAGCTTTCTTACTGGATGTTAGCCTAAACATGCACAACTAAAAATATGTAACTTTGAAAAACATATAAAGAGAAGCTTGAATCAATGGGGAAAATAGGTATAAACTTGTGTACATAAAGAAGAAGAAAAAAGCATCAGCCCTGGTGGCACAGTGGTTAAATGCCTGTACTGCAGCCACTCACTCATAAACCACAAGGTTGCGAGTTCAATACCAGCCAGGTCTGAGGCTCGACTCAGGCCTGCATCCTTCCGAGGTTGCTAAAATGAGTACCCAGCTTGTTGGGGGGCAATCAGCTCACAGTTGTAAACCGCTTAGACATCCCATAGCGTGATATGAAGCGGTATATAAGAAGCTGCTTTGCTTTGCTTTATAAGATGTGCATACATTGAGTATAGCTTTGTTTCAAAATATGTGTGAATTTCCATGCAAAAACTTTCCCTACCTGCCCAACCTGATACAAAATAAAGACAGGTGATACAGACAGAATTTGAAAAAACAATGAAACTGAGAATGAGAGCATTTCTCCTCCCTAAGCTTAGAAGTATTCATTCCAGAATTTGACCTCAAAGTTTGACAAGGAAAATATGGCAGGCTCAAAGCCTTCTCAGGGTTTCAAAATGCCCCATTATGATAATTTCCATCCAAAGAAGTTTGTTCCATTCACAAATATTTATGATCTTTACTTGTAAAATTTATGCAAACATCTTGAGCTCTGTATAACTCTAAAGCAAATGAATGTATCACGATTTTGCACAATGGTCTGCTGGTTTGACTTTTAATGTGCATGTGTAGTGTAGTGGTTTGAGTGCTGGATTGTGACTCTAGAGACCAGGGTTTGATTCCCAACTTTGCTCTGAAACTCACTGGGTGACCTTGGGCAAGTCACATGCTCTCAGCCTCAGGGGAAGGCAATGGCAAACCTCCTCTGAACTAATCTTGCCAAGAAAACTCCACAGTAGGGTCACCATGAGTCAGAAATGACTTGAAAGTACACAACAACAACAAACATCTCCCCGTTCCCATGTTCTCCAACATTTCACAGATAAAAACCAGGAGTTGTGTGGCCAGACAACATCAAAGTGTAGTCCAGATGGTAAAAGTTATTGATGAGGAAGAACAAGCTAGGAGCGGTTGCATCAGTTTGGTTTTCCCTGAGCCTACTGAGAAAGGCACGATTCTACTTCTTCCCCTCAAATACCTTTGTACTTTGAACTCTATTTGTACCAATGGAAGTAAGCTGAGGAAAGTGGGGGAGAGATACTGGGACATTATAAAAGCAGCTGGAAAAGTGGGATGACAAAGGATTGTCCCTGTGAAACCAGGACAATTAGAGTGTATGTTCACTGCTACCCCCAAAAAGGTGGATGGGTAAAGGGAACAGCTGTCTCTAAAGACATCTTCACAAGTGAAAATACCAGCAACCTTTCCAAGGAGTGCTTTTTGTTTTAAAAAAGGAAAGCTTGAACCACTGGCAGCCACTCTCCTAGCAGCTGATGTTCTCTTTGTATGAAGCAGATATTGTAAATACTGATTATACATGAAACAAAGACAGGAGAAGCAGTGGAGGCATTCCTAGTTAACAGAGTGGTATGGCACAATAAGTCAAGATGAAAACAAGCAAGAGGATGACAATTTGAACATCTGACAGGTGCTGGTAGGATATTTCACTACTTCTTTTATTGAATGATAATATGTAACAATGCTAATCTTGCTATGGTTGCTTTCTCCAACTGTCCCTATTAACCAAAGATAGCTGCTGTTATTTTGGTATATGTCTCACATAAAACATACCCAAATTTGTCCTTCAGAAACAGTCTCAAAATATCAGCCAAGATCTTACTTCATGCTAGTGTTGGGTAAATTTTCACTCGGTTAAATGGTGATTGCTCTTACTACACTGTCCTTCTAATGAATACCAGTATTGTGCAACTAATTCAACAGCTGAAATGTGCTTGCTTTTTCCACCATACAAGTAAATCAAGTGCTACACTGGAGATGTACATATCTAAGAATGCACAATTGCATGTGCAACAGTTATGCCTGCAGAACTTTACTAATGTAACTGAGAACTGAATTATGGACATTATACCATGGCTATGAAAGTACAAGCACATGTGTAAGGGAACTTATATTTGTACAGAACATGAACAGGATGCCAGATGGCATTAAAATATGAGTAATCACCAGAATCCTTTGTAATGGAAGAAGGGAAGCATGTGCTTTTTGACTTACACATTTACATGCATACTAAAATTAGCAATGTCTGCTCATCAGTAATGTTATTGTCATGTTTCCGTCCACCTTGAGAGGTCTTCTGAAGAGAAAGAAGAAGAAGGCTTACAAATGGAGGAGACTCAGAAGATTCCCAAAGACAAACCAAGATTCAACATGTCAGTTCAGGATCACAGGAGGAGGAGAGGAACCTTAGGGGAAGGTAGGTACTGAAACAGACCAGACTTTTCTCATCAGATCCAGTATGAGGTTGCAATCATGGTCTTGGGAAGAATCATAGAATCATATACCACAGCTGAAGGATACTGTCATTAAAGCAGTCAGCCCTTGGTATCCATGGATTCCTTATCCATGTATTCAACCATCCACAGCTTTAAAATATTTTAAAAATATATAAATTCCAAAAAAGCAAACCTTGATTTTGCCATTTGTATAAGGGACACCCTTTTTCTACCCCACTGTATTTAATTGGACTTCAGCACTCACAGATTTTGGTATCCACTGGGGATCTTGGAACCAAACCTCAGTGGATATCAAAGACCCACTGTATAGCTAGGGATCTGAGCAAAGGCCAGGTATCTCTGCCTATAAAAGACAGACAAGAACACCAGCTCATTGTTGAGAACAACACTGTTCCTGGCCCTTCACCAGTTAGTGTGGTTCCCTTGTTCTTGATGAATGGATGACTCCTGGATGATATGTTTGAATCCTCAGATACCAAACCTGGTGTATTATCGAATGAGACCTAAATTAAGCTAAAATAAATCTGTTGATCTATCTCTTGTTTGCTGTTGAGGCATGGGATGACAAAAAGACAGGTTTTATGGCTCAAAATAGAGGACATTTTGGTATTCCTCCCAGACCACTAGACATAAGGGTGAAATGTAGGAAATGTCCAGGAAAAAGAGGACCTCCAGGTCACCTTGGCCTTATTTCTCAATGTGATCGTGGTAGTAAGAGGAACTGGATACATATCACTTTGGGGGGCTGTGTTGCATATCTCTTCAGTAAAGTGACTGGGTTCTTGTGCTATCTTCCACCCTCCTCCCTAACCATGTCTTCCTGCCCTATGCTATACCCATCATGCTTTTGGGAGGGTGTTTTTTTTAAAAAAGAGAATTAATGCAATTCCAGAGGTATACTAACACATTTTTTTTTAAAAAAGAAGAAAGAACATAAAACAAACTAGAAAGAAAGAAAGAGAAAGAAAGAAAGAAAGAAAGAAAGAAAGAAAGAAAGAAAGAAAGAAAGAAAGAAAGAAAGAAAGAAAGAAAACCTGCTCTGGAATAGTGAGAGAGCTATTTCTTAACAGAGTCAGTGTGGTGCAATGGTTTGAATATTGGACTAATATCCTGAATCTGATTCCCTGCTCAGCCATGGAAACCCATTGGGTGGCCTTGGGCAAGTCACATGCTCTCAGCCTCAGAGGAAGGCAATGGCAAACCTCCTCTGAACAAATCTTGCAAGAAAATCTCATGATAGAGTTGGCTTTGGGACATAGGAAGTTCTTAAGATTATTCTTTATGCTTGGCTGTTTTATGTGATTGTCTTTAACACTTAGGGGCTATGCAGATGGGCAGGAAAAGGTGACCTGAACTTATTTTTTCCCTAAGCTGTGGCAACCGCACTGCCTGCCCTGAGGTTGTCCTAAATGGGGACGGAGCAACCGCACTGGGGGGAGTCAATATAGCTTTTCTGAGGCTGTATTGAAGCCCCAGCAACCGCACTGCCAGCCCCAAGGGACGCTGCAAAGGGAGATGGAGAAACTACATGGGCCACCAGTGGCTGCTTTAAATTTTTTTTTGTTTTTGTTTTCAAATGCATGCACACATGTGCAGGAACATCTCTCCACACCAGCACATTTGTGCAGGAAAACATCCTTGACTGAAGTTTGGCATCCCTGTGCACCTGCACAGGACATGTCATAGGCTAGTATACAGTCTGGCACTCTCTGTGTACTGCACATGCACACGCGCACGAGTGCATGCGGCACCATTCCCCCCCCCCCAGCCCATGGAAGACCTGGAGAACAGCAGACAGGCCCCAGGTAAAAAGATGTTGCCGACCCCTGCTCTAGATCACCGAGTGAATTTCTGCCGCATGTGCGACAGTGCATTCATATGGCTGTTTTCTGGTTCATCAGTGTTGCTGCACACATACACACATGCAAAGGTGCGTATCTTCACCGAAGGACCAAAAAAAAAAAAAAAAAAAAAAAAAAAAAAAAGCAGCTCCTTTTTGGGATGTTTTTTCTCAGCATACAACAGCTAGAGGGCACTTTCCTGGAGACTTTTAGCAAAGGCCATGCCTACAAGTCACCCTCAAAGCACTCCTTTTTGCCCGTCTGCATAGCCCCATAGTTGTGCTTGGAATCCTTTTGGATGTTGGCATCTGAGATAAATATGCCAATGAATAAAATAAAAATAATTTCATCCTTATTATTTATTTAACTAACACAAGGGATGAATGGATTTTGAAGGAGGCCCACATCTCTCCATTTATAAAGCAAGTCAGTCTTTTAGGGGGGATGCAGACCAGGGCGTTTGGAGCGCCCTGGTCCGGAGCGCCGCGGGGCTATGGCAGCCTCACCGCGGCGCCTCCCCGGCGACCCTGAAAGGAGCGCCAAAAAGGCACTCCTTTCATAAGTCGCAAAAAGAGCGCCCTAAAAGCGGCGGGCGCCCTTTTTGCGACTTATCCTCCACAGCGCGTCCGGACGCTGTGGAGGGAGGTCGCCCTGAACGCGTCCGGCGTGCGGTGACCCGGAAGCGTTCAGGGCGACCTCAGGAAGAGGAAGGGCCGCCGCGCGTGTGGTGGCCCCTCCTCTTCCTGGCCTCGGAGACGGCTCAATTGAGTCGTCTGCCGAGGCCCTTAGTTGGTAAATTTGTCTTCATGTTTCTTATCCCTTCAAAACAAAAATGGCAATTTGGCTGCTCTTTCAGAGTCCTCCTAACACTATCGAAATTAAAATAAAAGCCTGAGATGAGCTTCCCAAATAATTCTTAAGAGTTTCATGAAATGTATTTGTTTTTGAACATCATGCAATTGCCTTGCCATGAATTAATTTTTCAGAAAGGAAAATGCAGACTGTACAATGTGATGAATGAAGTTGGTAGTAAGTCCCATTGGACACAGTGGAACTTACTTCTGAGTAAACCTACTCAGAACTGATTTGAGTGAGAAGGAAAATCAAAGCTTCCCTATGTGGTTTTTGTGCTAAAATCAAAGGCAAATCTGAAAAGATATAATTTTGATCAGAAGGCAAAGTCAACCTCCCCCCCACTCCCCCAAACTCTCTAGCTTCACATTTTCATATGGCAGGAGGAATAACGATTCCCATATTATGTTGCTGTCGCCTTTCTATGCATGTAGAGAAATTGGTGGATTAGGGAGAGAGTGGTGGAGTCTCATGTTTTCAAAAAGGGGGAGGAAGGAGGGAGGGAAAGACTAATTTTGTGGCTTAAAGGGTGACAATTTGTCTATGCAGCCAAATGGTCTTGTCAAGGCATCAGGAAATTTGGGGACTTGAATTCAGAGAGGATGCTTTAGAAAACACAGGCTTGCCTTGAGCTCCTTGAAGTAGCCTCTGAGCACCAGAACTGATGTTTTGTAATTTTCCCTTCT